CCCCCCCCCTCCAAAAGCCAGCGCTGAGCCTCTTTGGGTGCAATTCAGCGTTGCGTGGTGTAAACTGCTGCAAATCGGTGCGAACCCACCACTGCTTCCCCCTTCTCCTCCTGACGCCGGGAGAAGAGCATGTGTCCCCTCTGCACCTCCCCAGCCCCTGCTCCCTCGGGGCGGTCCCCCAAGTCCCCCACCCGGGCACTCACCTCCAGCACCGGCTTGGCACCGCTGTGGACGGAGAGGATGTGCGTCACCCCATTCCTCAGCAGGTTTTCCCGGTCCTCGGAGTCTGGAAGCAGGAGCGGCACGTGAGTCGCCTGCCCTCCCGAGAGATCTGCTGGATCAAGCACCCACCAGCAACCCTTATCCATCACCCCCGGCCCCTCAATCCCCGTGCCAGCCCCTTCCCACTGCCTCTCACCCCGCACGATGCGGGAAAGGGGACCGGGCATCGCAATGCACCTCCTCCAAAGCAAAATCCCCCTCGGATGCACTGGGTATTCAGCAGGCTCCTAAAAACACCCCCAGAATCGGAAATTATACTCCTAATTTGGAAAAGGCTGTCATGTCTTCGCTGCTGGGTGAAACCCAAGCTTCGCCCTGCTCCCCATGGGGCCAGAGGCCCCAGCGAGAAAGCCAGGCGTTGGCCTGCTGTAAATATTGTCTCAGCAAACATGGGGAGGTTTCCAGCCATGCCAGGGGTTCCCCGGTGCTCCGGCATGGCTGGTGACCGCAGCTCCCCATGGCTGTCCCTTTCCTGGGCTAGAGCTGCACGGGGCCGCTTGCGATTGGGATGAGGCTTTTTTGGGGCTTTGGATCTCTAGAAGATGCCGAGGTCCCCAGCCAGGAGCAGGCACAGGGAGCCCCCCCGAGGAGAGGGGCTCCTCCAGCCCCGCCAGCTGCCCGGGGATCCCACAGCAAGGCGGAGGTGGAGCAGGGAAAGGCACTCACCGCGGATGTTCCCGAGGTAGAGGCCTTTGACAACCTGGGAGGTGACAAAAAGGAGAGAGATTTCGGACGGCGCCCGGCACAACGTGCGTCCGACGTGGCGGGAGCAACAAGCTGCACGCCTGGTATCAGCGGGACCAGGGCATCTGGCAGCAAACTCCCCAGGCAGTGATAAACCAAGCACCTAATCAGTGAAGCACCTTCGTTAACGAACATCAAAGGCTGAGCCCACTCAAACCACCAGCCCAAACCCCTCCAGGAGCGCAGAGCTCAGGAAAACTCAGCACATAAATGGAGGGGGCTTGTGTTTGGTCCTATTGCTATCAGAAAGGCCGTGCTGGGGGCTGGATTCCCCAAACAGCTCAGCCCACCCCAGCATCCTCCTTCAAGGTCGGGCTTCAGCGGGGATCCCCCCATCGCCCTGGCTGGCTCCCCGCTGCAGCTCGGTTTTGTTTTGCTACTCTATAGCAACCACCTCCTGCAAATATTTTCAAAGGTCGCCTCCGCCAGCTGGGGATAGATGGGCAAAGGCACGGGCTATTTATAATACTTTTCTGGCCAGGATGTTGCAGTAAGTGCTGTCGAGTATGCAAATTTGGTCTCCAGCTCGCTGCTGCAGGGTTACGAAGGAGAAAAAGGGGCAGCTCAGAGCATTTACAGGGTGTAAGAGCCCACCAGAGCAGTTTCCAGGGGCACGGGAAGGAAGGGCTGGTTCCCAGTTGGACTTGTTTGCACCCATCTGGCAGAAGACGCCTGGTTTGAGAGGCTGTAGGAAGGGTTTTCCACAGCTCTGGGTCACATCCAGCCCACCTCTACCATTCAGCTGAACCCCAGCCCGCTTCTGGGGTGCAAACACCTGGATTCGGCAAACGTCTGAGCCCAGCACAGCAAAGCCGTTATCGCTAGAAGGGGGATGCCAAACCCTGCGTCTCATCAAGTCAAAGCCAGATCCCGCAACACAAATGTGCCCGCACCAACCCAGCCCCTGGCAAAGGCAGCCCGGGCTCCCCAAGAGGGTTTGGGGGCACAGGGGAGGCTGTAAAAGCCACTTTGCAGGTCGGGCTGCGTCTGCAGGGGGTGAAACCCCGGTGTTAAATCACACCGGAGCCGTGCAGAGAGAGTTTGCCCCGATCCGGTCTCTCCGTTGTTGTCCCAGAGTCTAATTTTAAACTGGGTAACGCACACACCAAGTGGTTATTTAAGGATACAGACAGAAATCCATCCCCTCTGCCAGCCCTGGAGTTCAGCTGAGCAACAAGCAGCAGTAAAACCCCCGCTTCCCCCTTCACAGCGCACGGCTGCCAGGCACAGATACGTCCCGGGGGTGGCAAGGGGAGGAAATTTCCCCACAGGGACCCCCGTCAGCCCTGAGGATTTTCATGCCGTGGCCTTACCGCCCAAGGGACGAGCAGCTAAAGCCAGCTGCCACTTTTCTAACACCCGCAGACGCTTAGTTCATCACCTCGGATATAAACCCGGGGATCACCGTCTGCTTTCTTAATTCCCCTGCTTAAGCGCTTGAAGTTTCGAAGGGGAATGAGAAAGGGAAGATGCAAACGGTTGTATTTAAGGGCATCGCGGCGGTCTGGGAACAAGCGTCCCCCCGGGCTGCAGGAGGAAGGTCCTGCCCGAGGACGACATGCTGCCCACCATCCCGCTGGCCCCCCGGTACCTTGCTCATTCCACTCCCCATGTTTTTTTCTCTCCCCAGGCTCAGGATTCAGGGGGCTTCTTGTTCTCCAAGGCTATCTGCAAATAAGCACCCGAAAATCCCAGGTGGAGAGATCTGCCCCCCTCCAACAGTGCATCCCACTGCTGCGAGGAGGAGGAAGGGGAACACGCGTCGGGGGGGGAGCGTGCAGAGCCCCAGCACATTCAGCTCACTTACCGGCGGCAGGCTGCTCCGGCAGGCGGAGGGGACTGAGGAGAGTGGCCGGTGCCAGGCAGGGGAGGATGAAATAAGGATCCGGGGCCGTGGCGTGGCTCAGGTTTCTCTCCTGGGCTCCCTGGGGCTTTCGCAGCCTTTTGGGGAGGGTGAAGAGGAGGAGGCCTGGGAGGAACGACTCCCTCGTCCCAGCGATGCTTAGAATCATAGAATCATTGAGGTTGGAAAAGACCTCTAAGATCATCGAGTCCAACCGTCGACCCAACACCACCACCCACTAAACCATGTCCCTAAGTGCCTCATCTACTCGTCTTTTAAATACCCCCAGGGATGGGGACTCAACCGCTTCCCTGGGCAGCCTGTTCCAATGTTTAATCACTCTTTCAGTAAAGAAATTTTTCCTCACATCCAATCTAAACCTCCCCTGGCACAATTTGAGGCCATTTCCTCTCGTCCTATCGCTTGTTACTTGGGAGAAGAGACCGACCCCACCTCGCTACAACCTCCTTTCAGGTGGTTGTAGAGAGCGATGAGGTCTCCCCTCAGCCTCCTTTTCTCCAGGCTAAACAGGCCCAGTTCCCTCAGCCGCTCCTCATCAGACTTGGTTTCCAGACCCCTCACCAGCCTCGTTGCCCTTCTCTGGACACGCTCCAGCACCTCGACGTCCTTCTTGTAGTGAGGGGCCCAAAACTGAACACAGTATTCGAGGTGCGGCCTCACCAGGGCCGAGTACAGGGGCACGATCACTTCCCTACTCCTGCTGGCCACGCTATTTCTGATACAGGCCAGGATGCCGTTGGCCTTCTTGGCCGCCTGGGCACGCTGCCGGCTCACGCTCAGTCCGCACGGGATACGGGAGCGAGGCCTGCAGCCCGCCCGCGCTGTTGAGAACGCGTTCCCTTCGCAAGGACAGACAGAGGGAGCAGCGCTGATCCCCGCCACACGGTTCGACTCGCGCGGCTGCCCTTCGGAGCGCCGACACGCCATTTTTGGAGCGGTTACGGGACGCCGAGCCTCCGCAGGAGCTGGGATCCGCTTACCTCACGTGTAGCTGAGACCTCCGCGCAGCGGGCCCCAGCAACGTTCCCTCTAACTGATTAACGCTGTCAAGACGCCAACCACGACGAGACTATCCGGGAAAGCTTTGCCCCGCAACCTGCGCTACAGGTTACCATCACCACAAACGCGTTTGAAGACCAATAAAAGGAAACTTTCAAGTTAACCAGACGTTTATTAGCATCTATGTAGGTGGAGAGGTTGTTCCAGTACATAAGCAACGAGGTCACACGCAGGTGATGGAATCATTTCATGTTCAAGCAGAGCGGGTTCCACTGAGTTGCTTCATTTCTTCCACTCGTTCTTCTCAAAATCCCACTGGGAAGAGATGCCCTCCACGGGATTAATCCGCATGTCCAACATCCTCTTCGTCTGCATCGACAGCCACTCGTCAGAGAAGGTGTGCGGAACAGGGCCGTACACTGCAATTCAAAAGCGGGCGGAGTTACGTCGTGATACAAAACGGGCACGTTGGGAACCGGGGTACAAGTTTCACTAACGAAAAGCTCCCCCCCGCCCCCCGCCGAAGCCATCGGTGCCGATCACTCGCACGCCGTCGCCTGTTCTGTTCAAACCTATGTTCCCCACAACCCATTTCCGAAGCGTTTGAGCTCGGAGCAGGTTCCCGCACCGATTCTCCAGCCGTTCCGTTCGTCAGCAAAGGCTTGAGCCAAGCCAACAGCCTTCTCCTACTTTCACCGCGAGCAGATGAAGCCTCAAGACGGAGAGCCGCTCATTTAACCGCGCGCTCTGCCTCACGGCAGCTGGAGGGCTCCCTCGGGGTAGGATCGTTAGCTGGGAAGGAAGCCAAACGCGGCAGAAACCCAAATGTTTACCACCAAGGCGGCAATAAGCTTTTGCGACAGCAGGTTTTTCACAGGGAGGGGAAGCTCCGGGATCCTCAGCGTGTCACCGCTCTTTCCCCTCCTCCCGCCAAAGCTCTCTCCACCACCTTCGCCTTCCCCCAAGTCAGCTTCCTGACCATTTACGCTACGTACCCGCCGGTCGCCACCAAGCTGCAACCCCAGAACCAAGTTTTCCGAGACTAACAAGCAGCAACCGCCAGGTCACCGGCACGGCTGTCCCACACACCGTTCTGACCCCCCGGAGCAGCTCACGGAGAACTCTCTTTAATTTCCCATCAGGTATCAGCAGATCTTGCTCTTCGCTGAAGGGTTAACGCTGTACGGCATTTACTTACTGTAATGTTTCTGCCAAATGAGGATGAGACCAGTTATGCCAAGAAAGAACAGCACTCCACCGAGGACGGTCTTCCATTCGTTTGAGCCTCTGTTCATTTCCGCGTAGCTCTCGTTAAATTTGATACGATACACTGAAAAATTTGATACGATACGCCGAAAAATTTGATACCATATGCCGAAAAAAAAAAGTTAAAAGCATCAGAGCCTTTCTTCTGCTTTTCCCGCGACTTGCAGGCAACCCGCCGCCCTCCGGAGGGAGGTGAAGGGAAAGGATGTTCAAAGCGCTTTTGAATCAGCGGGCCTCTCCCGCGCCAAGACCAAGGCACCTGTGCCAAAGTAAACGAGCTGCGTTTCACACACCCCCCCAGGTCAGCGTCAGCCTCCGCTGTACAGATTATCGCAAACTTGCGCGGAAGTTGCATTATAGGCCTGACAGAAGGAGAAACGGAGCTCTCCTGCCTTCCCTTCAGCTCCCAGCACCGTTACTGACCGCGGAGCTTCCCAGCACGAACCGTTTCAACGGGAACGCCCGTGTCTCAAAAGGCTTCTCTCAGCTTTGCCACTGAGGCCCACGAGACTTTGAAGTTCAAAACAGCGTTAGATTTGGAGAGCGCTTGTGAGCGTTTCGGCAGTTCCCGGAAGAGTTTTAAACCGTCTCGCTTCGACACGGGCGGACACGGCACCGTTCGCAGATCAGGTTCTCACTTGCGTAGCGCGACGGCAGTTAGAAAAGATGATGCAGTTTTATTTGCAAGTCAAAACACCCGCGCGGCACTTTAATTAGCTGAAATTTGGTTAAGGCTAGGGTCAGCGGTCATTAACATTCAAATAACACAGGGTTCGTTTTACTCGGCTGGATTAACGAGCGCGTATTGTTGTAATGAAGAGATTTATTTTTTTTTCCCTGGCTCGTTGAAAGCAGATGGGAACCAAGAAACAAATATAATCATCGTTTGTTTTCTGGAAGAGGAAGAAACCGCTGAACTTGACCTCAGGTACGTAACAGACACCACGGCAGGCCCTCCTCACTTTTTGAGACAGCACCAAGAGTCCCAGGAACACAAACCACTGATCTCCACTGGCATATACGCACAAGGAGCTGCACCGGCGTTAACAAAGCTCCTCCACGGCTCACGGCTCCGCTCGCAGAGCCGTCGGGAAGAGCAGGGTCTAACGGCTGCCTCCACAGGCACCGCCTGCGGCTGCCTTTCTAGGAACAGTTGTCAATAACGAACGTGCGACGGGTCAGATCGCATCGTATCTAGCCGTAAGGTCACTTAAAGCCCCCGCTACCTACGTTCAACTTTCTCATCGACGGACAGAGCAGTCCAAGACGCCTTTTCCTTCTCCTTCAGCGCCTTCTGCTGAGCCGAGAGATCCCTTACAAAGGCCACTTCAGGCAGGGGAACGTCACGACGGTCGACGTAGGCTGGGAGGCTGAAATCCTCTGCTTTGACGACGCCAGCTGCACCTGGGAACAGAGGAGACGCCCATTCAAGCTTCCGACTCCTGCGCAAAGATCTCTTACGGGTTACAATACAAAAAAAACCCCAGCAGCTCAGTCGAAAAGGTGATGACGGTTAAGGAATCCAGGAGGGAAAAGACCTCCAGATGAAGCCTTCATCAGGGAGGAAGAGGGAAAAGAGAGAGTACTTAAAGTGGGTGCTACTTTACGAGCGCAAGAATAAAGCAGAAGGGGGATCTACGTAAAAGGTAATATCCAGCGTTACTTTATTAACGCCTCAGCCGCCCGTTTCCAGCTGACACGCCGACCGCCTCCCCTGCCAAACACCCAGAAGCCCTCCGCGCTTCTCCCCTCCTAGCCTCTGCCCGGCCC